CAATTATCAGTTGATGAATGGAGACTCATATTGTCCTCCAGATGTCTGCAAATACCCCTGTCAACTGCAGTTCGGTGAGTTCTCCCCTCATTTTGTCCTAAGGATGGAAATGGAGTGGGACACTACAAAGAAGGAAAATCCTGCCTGGGTGATCGTGCTGTCAGTGGGGGACAGCAAACAGAGAGGAGCAGAGTGGGGAGAAGAAAAAGTTGAAAAAGTTTTGCTGTACTCCAAGTAGCTCTGAGTGCAGACTGTCCCCTTGCTAACAGTGTACTAGGGCATAAAAATAGCCTTGAACAACTCATAGTGAAGGGTAGTACATTGAGTCATTCCTAAAGATTATTAGAGTAATATTAATTATGGATGATAAAACATCATGAGCCTAAAAAAGCAACTCAGATCAGAATATGGCTACTATATGGAAAGAATAAACATAAAAAGCAGGAAGGAAAACTTGAAGTGAAAGAATAAGTATACTGTGTAAACATTACCATTTGTTTCCTTAACATGCTAATCAACCTTCTATTTCTAACTCAAACCCAATGTTTCTTCTCAAGTTCACGAAAGTTATCAGTTATCATAATTTTTAAATACCAGGGAAAGAGAAATTAAAAAGAAATGAGATGTTTGAACCCCACAAGCCCCCACAGCAATTTAAAGATTATACCATGCTAAAAAATACACACTTTGTTAAAAATGCTCAGTAAAATCATGCATAATCAAGCAGCATGTTTTGAAAATCTCTTATTTACAATACATTAAAGAGAAAGCAAATATTTTCATGATGTTGAAGTCATGGGAAGACCAAAGTCAGGGTTTTACCCAAAATGTTTTTACAAAGGAAGTGGAAACTGTCTATCAAAATGTTCTCTGTTCTCAACAATAAAAAGAGAAGAAAGAACAAAGAAAAGAAGATGATGTTAAAAATAACATCTGTATGGTCCCCAAACTAAATTATTATTTTACATTAGGTTTCATTTACAATAACAAAGTAGGAGCTGGGAACAAAAGCAGATTGGGTAATGAGAAAAGTGTCTAGAAATGGTTAGAATATAATTTTCTATGTCAGCTGGGAAAAGATTTCAAAGAGCTCAATGTGTTCAGGAAAGGTACAGTAGGTAATCTTCATCCCAGACTATTGAAAGGACTGACATATGAAATTGTGAGCGCTATAAAAAGGAGTAAAACTAAAAATCTAACAAGTCAGAGAGGGATTGTGAGACTGAAAAAGAGCAAGTATAACACCTGTATCTAAAACAGAAAAAAAAGTGCCCTGAGCTAGAACAGACCAGTAGTAGCCTGATCTCAGTAGCATGTAAAGCTTTCCAGTGCACTTTAAGGGAAGCAAATACCACATTTCAATGTGCATAAATGATATACCTTTTTTTTCTTTTTTGTGCTATGGAGCATCCTCTTGGGTTGCTAACATGTGCAAGCAATAAAAGTGTTTGTTTACTTGAAGTAAATAGGCAACTCAGGTCCGAAAGAGAGCCTTCTGGAATAAATGTCCTCTTCAGACCCTTCTGAGGATATTCCTTCCCCATTCCTTATTCCTGTCTTTGGCAGGCTTTGGATCCCCCTTGCTGTATAGTTTTCTTCTACCCAGCACTTTATCCTGGTGCCCTCTTGTCTCCCCTTCCCTCCCCTTCCCTTCCCTTCCCTTCCTCCCCTTTTGCATACAAAAGCAGCTGATACTGTATTTTCATGTATATTAACTAACACATTACTCAATGAGATTGGGTTACCTGGGCACCTAGTGTTGGAGTACTGTAATTTTAAATGTTGATGGTTGTCTGATATATGGGTTATACCCAAGAAAAAAAAATAGATATATAAAGTTTGAAAACATTTGAAAATGCAACTTGGGGCTAGCTGCATGTTATTGACAGAATTCCTCCAGAATTAGCCTTTCAAATTATTACATGTAATTTTTCCTTTAATGATATGTAAAGTCTGAAGTATAAGTAATACCCTGCAGAGCTAATAAAGACAATTTTTTGCATGAGTGGCACACCAAACCAACATGGCACACCTCCATAGCCCACTGTCTCCCCGCTCCCTTCTTCACTGCGAGAGTCAGGGAAACAGGAGGCCAGACCAGTGAGTGGCTCTATCTTGAGTGCAGATGTATTACAGTGTTAGCACCTCACACTTATCATCAGCATGGCTGCAGCTACCTCTATCAGCTCCTGATTTGTCCTCTGCTTTCTCAGGGATTTGCAAGGGGACCATAAGTCTTTTTGACTTGTAATTTCCTCCTTCTGCATGCCTTCAATTCCTACACTTGTGATACACTTATTCTTTTGACTTGATGTACCAGCACATGTTGTAGTGTTCCCCTGAGATATTATTACCACCCAACCCACCCTGGGATCTTCTCAGGGTCGCCCATCTCCTGAGTAGGCACTTGTCTCTACCTTTACAGTTCTCTTACAGAGTTAGATTTTAAAGTAAATAGCCCACCCTACAGATATACCAGTCTGTTCAAGTTACCTCAGAGGCCATGCACAGGCAGGTGGAGGATTTGCTGTGCCACTTCTAGTAGAAAGAAGGCCCACTTCCCTATGATGTATCTTCTTTCTGTGCCTCCCCTCATGGATGCCTGAGGATATTTCATGTGTTGTACAGTCAGAAGTAGAGCAAGGAGGCATGCCCTTATGTGGAAAGAATAAAAAACTGAAAGTAGAAAAGATGAAAAAAACCAGGTCCTCTAATATTTAGCATTCAATAGGCAAGCAGGAGAAGGCCAAGTGCAGCAACAACAGTACAGGTGTAAGAGGATGGGACAAATCCAAGGTCAACAGAATGCCAGGGTAAGCATGATATTTTGCTATACAACCCTGATGATGGCCCTAGCCTTCTTCTAACATCCTCTGGATTAATGTGTCCTCTATGCCCAATCCCCAACCTAGGTATGGCTGAAGTTGTCTTCAATGTAATCTCTAGTCTCTTAATCTCTCCATTTTCTCCCCTTTCGACCTTATTCCTAAGGTTTCTGCTAAGTTTTGCCATTATCACCCAGAGTTATTCTAATCTGTCCAACACCTCATTCAATTTAGTCTAAATGGTGTTCAGCAAACAATCTAACCTAACTTGCCTGTATCCCTCTTTGTAGTACTGATATTTACAGCTCCAAGATGAGAGATGTTTGAGAGATGAGCTCATTGCTGATCTGGGAACTTTACTTCCAAGAAGCCTGAGATCAGCTAGGCTGAAGGCATTTTCAGTGCTGATGGTAGTCTGGGGATGATCAGCATCACTGTCTGAATGAAATGCAATCATCTCAGAGGGCAAGAGGGAAAGAATTTTGTACATGTACAAAACAAGAAGCATAAGGGGTAAGGATCTCTATGGAGCTATCTCTAGCTGAGTACTGAATTCAGATATGAAGTTGATGCTAGGAATCTGGTGGGAGAGTGGGAGAGTAGAATTTAATGGGAAAGTGGTAGAGAAGTAGAGTTAGTAGCCTAAAATCTCTTGTACAGCTACCATAAGGAGATGATGCCAGTGTGTGATGATGGCTGCCTGGCTTTGCTGTCAGTTTATATTCCACCCTCAGTTTGATGAGCTGTGCATGGGCCACGCCTGGCATGCAGCAATCTCTCTGTTTTATGTGGTGGAAGATCAACAATGAATGCTGATGGCTGTGCCAAGCAAAGATTTGCAGCTGGCCTTTCTCTTTGCAATGGCTGAGGCTCCTTTATACAATCAGTCAAGTTAAAAGGGCTTCAAACATAGGCAAGGGTTTTCCTGAGCATTTTTTTAGACAACTATTTTAATTATACAATAAAATAATTAATAATTCTGCCTGATATCTTATCTAAGTCTGGCTGCAAGATTTGCCCAGGAGCCAGCAAGGGCATGAAAGGGGGCAGGATGGAGAATAGAAGCAGTTTTGGCTAAGGCAGTGGGTAATATGGAAAGGACTGGCCAGATGACTCCACAATGCTATTATCAGATAAAACACAAAGAAATGTCCAGAGTTTTGTGCTCACTGCTGTCTTCAAACTGTTATAACACCTCCGGGCTATCCCTAAATACCTCAGCATTCTAAAATTGCAGGTTTCCTTGTCCATTCCCTTCCCTAAAATGTATAAATTGTTTTCAGCAGTAGAAATCACAGACTCATTTGTCAGTAATACAGCACAAATTTCCTTCACCCCTTTCCTATAAAGAAAATACCAGAACTTCTACCATACAATTGGGAGCTTATAATAGAATGCTATTAACACAACACTAAATTCAAGGTGTTTCAGAGAAGTACATCATTATGTCTGTCGCTTATTTGTGGCACATGTACAGTTCCGGTTCAAATTTCCCTGGAGCTGGAAGAGAGATCTGCACAAAATGCCATGATAAATTTTAGGATGAATACTAATATGCAGTAGTCTAAAACCAAAAAACCATGACTTCCAATCAATGCTTGACATGTGTCCAGTTTTCTGAAACTCCAATGAAAGGTGAGGCTAATTATTCATTACACAATCTGGTCATATTTATTTGCATCCACACATTTGAAAATCCAAGTTTACATTTTTAAAGCTAAATAAAGTTGCCTTGTGACACTCATATTGTATCTATTACATATTTCACTTCAAAACCTCATCTCTCCTAAAGCCTCTTCAGTGTGCTTGAAGTAGCACAGCAAAAGAAAAGGAATTTTCAGTTTAACTAGAGCACTGACATTCTGTTACACAATTCCATCTTGTCTATTTACCAGCTCTTAAAAAACAGAAGACACTAAACAAAACAAAACAAAAAAATAATGCTGAATGCATCCAGCCAACAGTGCCATAGGTGTCTGAATGCATCGGTAGCTTCCCTCTCACTCATCAGTGTAATTGTTGTCATGTTATTCCATTTTTTGATTAGGCTGGTCCGCCAAGCTCCCAGCTTTTCCTGGCCAAACGTTCTTCTGCTGGTTGTCATGGTGACTGCATTGTTAGTGGGGAGAAAGGCTCTGTTGTCTGCCATTGTTCTGTTGTGCTTTAGGTAATGCACGAGGCATCACAAGTGAAGTGGATGGACCTTTTTTGCTCGGCATCATTGCCGAGTATTGAAAATCTCACATAAAAAAGGAGCAAATAGGCCCTGACCAAAGAAATAACCAAGTTCTTTTTTTTTCCTTCTTTATTTTTTTTAAAAAAAGAAAGCACACATTACTATAAAGAGGTAAAACAGCACTGGCGGTTAACTGAATAATCAAAGAAAATGCTATAGAAATTATATTTATTAGAAGAACAATTGCCATGATTTGGATGTTACTATACAAGGGTAACCATCTGGCAATTTAGCTTGAATATAGTTTTTAAATATTCATTTCTCCAGCTTGAAATGTCATTTAACCTCAGATTCTATTTAGTTTAAAACACTACACTGTAGGAGTTGAATGCAATTATTTTGTTTCTAAAATTTAATCTGGGAATGGCGAGCTTTGAAGTAAGCTACCACAGTTTATTACATTTTATACCATCATCACAGTATGTAATCACTGGTTTTCTTTTTTTTCCCCCATAAAATGAGGTTTTACTCTAATATTAATTCAATTGTCTGAAAAAAAAATTAAAACAACAGGCACTATTCACAGGTCTGACTTTGACATTCAGATAATTTCTTTAAAAGCCATCTCAGAAAAATTAGGGGAGAAACCCTGAGAAAGTTCTTCAAAAAGCCTTAGCTTACTTAAATGGATTTCCAGACAGAATATTGGCTTTAAACTGTAATTAATTAACACTTTTCCAACAGCAACTTACACATTAAATATTGAAAGTGAACCAAATGTAAATCCCAACTGCCTTAAAAAAATAGCATATGGTTTGAGAATCTAATTTTCAGCCCATGCTCAAATTTATCTGCTGATCCCAGTAAGGGAAACAAGGAGGGTACCAATATTTCTCTCCCATCATTCCAGGGAGAAAAACCACCTTTCAGAAGAACCTGTCACTGGATGTCACCAAAGTTCCATGAATTTGCAGGCAAAACAGCACTATTTTATCAATAAAACTCAAGAGTCTTAAAAAAGGTAAGCAAAAATGAGTATTACAGGTAACCCAGCTTTCCTATAAAGCTGGCAAGGCCAGAACGTGCACTGTGGTTGCCACTGAGGTTCACATGCTGTGGCTTTCAGCTGCCCAATATCTCACACACCTGGAGAGAGGAGAGGTTTACAACTGCTAGCACAGGCAGTCGAAAAAGTGCACAGAGTGGCTTAATTCGGGTTGTAATACATGTTGACATATATTTCCCCCCTTTAAGCCTGTAAAATGAGAATGACATTTTCTATTTTCTTCTTTATTTAGTGAGGTTTTTTTCTAGACTGTTTATTGAACCCAGCAGACTGGGACTTTCCCATACCCCATGTGCCTCCTGCACTCAGGACTGCTGGTGGTACACACAACACCTGAAAGAAGTTTTTGCTTCTCAGGTGCTCAGTTCCTCCATGTGTCAGATTGGGAATCTAAAAAGAAACGGTAGGAGGTGCAGATTTCCTTGCAGGGGAATCTATACAAACACGTAATCCTAGGAGTAGCTCTTTGAATAATGTCAGGATAATTTAGGTGAAGAAGAAAAAAATTTGCCATGAATATAAAACTTTTTAATAGATAGCTATTATGTGTAACAGAAAAATGGGTTGTCCTTTGGGAAAAAAAATGTTATAGCATGAAGTTTGTGTTTTTAAACCTTGAGATTGGGGATTTCACAATAACAAAATCACTTGGGCATCTTGGGCATGACTTCCCACGGGTATTACCTCCACAAATCCCTTGTCATTTCTGGTTTTCTCGGAAATTACTTTTGAAAGCTAGAGAAATTGGTAGCCTTTATATAATTTGCCAAAGAACATTGAAGTACAGTGACTCTCTTACTTAGAGTTTGCCTTGGACTCCAGCTGGCCCTGCATTTCACAAGCACTTGCTGAACACAGCAGCAATCCTGCCTTTCTGTGCTCCTCTACTCTGAGGTGTTCTGGGCATATGCCCAGCATCTCCAAGAATGTGCATGCAAGCACCTCTGAGACTGGGTAGTAAAACAGGATTTATCAAGCTCACATACATGGACACGGATTATTTACTCACAAAGCAGAGGCAGGTCTGCACACAGCCTCGTGTCAACTACTGCCAGCCTCATCTATGGCAGAGGTATAATTCATGCTAAATTCCTAATTCTCTTTTAATTCTATGAAATTACTATATAGCCCAGTTCATTTTACCCTTATTAAATTCAGGAGAGCTTTTCCATAAGGGATAGCTTCAGAAACACTAATATAGGACAATTGCTGTTTTTTGGAGAGCTCTATTGCAAGTGTATTGCCTTCTCAGCTGGAAAGGATGATTACTGATGTCTGAAAAAGGTACTTACAGCTTAGTACACAGTAAACATGTATTCTGTTTTTCTTTTGCTCTGTTAAACAATATAATACATAGCAAAAATCTACAGAAAAAGCAATCAAAACAGACACACTTTAATAAGAATCCCAATGCTTCTTAATTTGTCCTTAATTCTTCCCGTCAGCATTTCCACTCGCATTCATCACTGAATATTCATTCCTGCTTCTGTCTTTGGGTTGCATGTGGCAGCAGCCCAGCTATGCAGGTATTTCGGTGAAGGGGGTGACAAGACATCCCTCCCCCCATTCCTGCTGCATCGCAGGAGGATCCCCAGCACTCGTCTGGTTTGGGACGGCTGAGCTCCCCACCAACCCCTTTCTCCTGCCTGATGCGCTGAGAGCTCCCCCTCCTGTTACAGCCAATATTAACTGCAGTCGACAGATTAATATTATTACCTCATTTTAATTAATTCCTCTCCTCAATTCAAAAAAGCACATCTGGTGCTTTTCAGAGCCAGACAAAGCTTTTTTCCTCCCATCCTCTCCTGAACATCAATTAATAACTTGGCAACAAAAAGAAAAGCAGCGTTTGTTCTCCGTACCTAACAGTCACAAGTGACAGAGAGAAAGAAAGGGGACTTGCTCCAGACAGAGGTCAACAAAAATAACAGAACTGCCAAATCTGTGTTTCCGTAACTCAGCAGAGTTAGGTCTGAGCACAGTGACACAGCTATTCTGGCTGTGCAGTTTCCAGGCCAGAGTTGTTTCACTTCTCTGTAACTTGAAGTGCAGGACAAATGATGTGTAACTTGCCCCACCAATTCAGGCAGGTGGTTAACCATTGTCTGCCATGCAGCTACTCAAGCCCAAAAGGTGATTTCAGACCTTACTGACAACATTTCAACTCTCAAACCCACAATTCAACTTCTAAATAGAAGTGACTCCCCTTCCAGAATTTCTCAAACCTCTAAAATCTCCTAATACAAGCAGAAGACACACATGAGCCCCTAGTCCTACATGGCTCTGTGCCTTGCAAAAACAATACAGAGACCAGTGGCACTGAAGACAGTGAGGATGAAAAACACTTGACAGTTCTCCAGAGCAGGTGGAGTTCTCTTTGACTAGAGAGATTAAAATAAAGTTCAAAGGAAATTTTATTCTAAAAGAAAAAAAAAATGAAGAGGGAGGTTGGTACAAAAGGACAAGAGTTTGTTACAACCATTTGTGCAACACTGAGATGCAGGACTAAACTCTGAGTCACTGGCCCATAGTCTCCCATAAGGCCAGATCTACAGGCCAGGAATGGGCATGGTTGAGCACAGGATGTGCCCATCTGGGTGGCAGGATGGGTTGACCAGCATGGGCCATGCACTGAGCTGAGAGCCACTGGTGCTCTGTAGGCAGAAGGTGTGGTGGCCATCAAAGCCTGCTCACCTCAAAGCCACCCTTGGACACACATTCAAACAAGGCTCAATATTTGACATTGAATTTTGTGCTGGAGTGCTTCCTGTTTTCCAACCTGACCTTAAGAAATTTACTGATGCCAGAAAAAATACATTAAACTTCTCAGGATGATAAACATTCATGACAAATGAGGAGAAATTTCACTGAGTCAAAACCAAATGTAAGATAGAAATTAAAGAAACAATTTATTAGTTTTTTAAAAGGGAACTGGTGTCATATTGTTCTGTTGTTTTCTACTCGCAGCTCCGGGACGTCAGCTCTTCAGCTCTCATTGGAGAGACAGGCTTTGAAGTTACTGTCCAAGCTGGCTTTCTTCTTTTAAACTCAACATTATTGCAAACTCAGTAGATGAGGCTTGTGACTTGCTTGGGAGCTTGTCTTTCCCTTAGAATTTCCTTTTGTTGATGCCTTTATTCCAGCTTTGTAGCAGCTGCTTTTTTCCTTTCTGCCTCTATTTTATTTTGTTTCTTTTTCCCACCCTCCCACCCCTGAAGAAATTTGGTTTGGATCCCTCTCATGTGATTTCAGTCCCAATTCAAAACTGAGTTCTTCTTGGGAACCCATTTTTTTAATGTCCAAATACTTTGTGGTTACTATTTAATGTATTAGTACCTGAACATTTCTATAAAAAATTAAAAATCAAAATAGGCATGAGAACAACATGAAAACTGTATTTATGCATATTTTATATCAAACACAAACATACATTTTTACATCAGATGGGAAAATGTCTTCTCACAGGTTTGACTTTTACTAGACATGAGGTGAATTTCATTACAACTAAACCAGATCCAGAAAAAAATGGGGAAGGGAAACTAGGTAGCTGTTGATAAACACAGATTAAAAAAATGCAAAATATAATTCAACTGTACCACAATGCGAGATTCAGCATATTAGCAGTATGCCTACTCTTAAAACTTCCTTCAAAATTTCTACTTTATTTTTATTATAGAATTTACTGTCACACAGAACAATATAGGGAAAAGACTGTGTTAGCTAATCTGCTGTAATCCTTTCAAATCTTTGAAAGAACAACAAATGCTTGATAAGCAGGGTCAGGCTGGGTCAGGATTTCGATGGGAGACATATAAGGAATGCCTAGGTGCTTCAGAAAGGGGATGTGGGTGATTTAGCAAGCTGGCTAAATCAGCAAGCTTGCTCTCCCCTCCACTTCAGTAAGGAGTAAAGGGAGCAGACCATGTGATGCCGGCAGGGTAACCTTTCAGGAGACATACATGTAATGCAAGAAATTCCATTCAAGGTGTTTTTTTATCCTTTTATCTGGTGGTGGCTTTAACTGACATCAGTTAAGGTAAGTACATTTTGCCTTATTGACTGATGGATAACCTGTTTCCCACATCCAGTCCTAAAATTTGCAGGGTGTTGTCAGATGCCGTTAAGCCATGCCATAAACCATGCTATTCACCCATTGTCTCAAGCCACTTCTCTTCTACGGACTTTGTATATATTAAAAATGTATTTCTGCAAAGTACTTATAAACTGCAGGAATGCCAGCTGCACCCACTATAACTATCACCTGTATCAATTCTAGCATTGGTTTTAACAACTGATTATATATATAAACACCAAAAAATGGATCATATGAAATATCAGTAAATATTTTTAATTAACTCCCCACAAAGTTCTCATCTGAACCAGAAAAATCAAGAATGTAAAATTATTTTGGAGGTACATACCTTGCCCTTCTGAAGTATTACACAGGCTGTGCTGGCAAAAACAACCTCTCTCCAAGAACATATTTTAATGAAAAGTCGGTATTTGTGGCTTACCGAAAGAAATACAGCAGTTTCAATGAAAAGAGTGCAAACCTCTCTCTCAGACCTCATTTTATGCTTTTTTTGTTTCCACTGAGCATATTTTAAGACTAATCAGCCCTATAAAAGGTACCACTGTTAATTTACTGTTTATCTTCGTCTTCACTGCAGCTGCTTAGTAGATAAAGAGCAAACAAAACCAGAATTAAGGTCATTCCATTTAAATCCTTCAGAATGGAAGACAAGGACTAAATTATTGCTGAGAATTACATGAAGGAAAGCCCAGGATAAGATGCGTATTGTTTATTATTTGCCAGACCCATAGTGGTACTGCATTTACATATTTGTGAAGGGATTACATTAACGTTTTATGAGATTAATTGGTAGCATGGGGAGATTCTCTGATGTAGTGTCCACACAACTTAAAATTATGCTCCTCTGCTTTCACAGACAGTATGCAGTACATAGGGGTTGTGAGAAATAACCCAAACCTCCCAGCTACCCAGCTGTAATGCATGAAAAAAAATGGTATTTTTTCACATAAATGAAATGTAAAGAACATTATTACATTTCATCACACAGCACAGGTCTGAATCCCACGGGATCATTAAGGTAAAGGTCTTAATGGATGATACTGTTTTCCTTCACAGGACACTTTAAACTTCTACTTTCACATTTTTAGGCAAAAGGAGCAATAGCACAAAAGATCGCTTTTATGTTAATTGTAGGAAATCATTTTAAAGTAGTCAAATATGAGTAGAAAATGAGTGGTCAAATGAGTAGAAAATCTTTTGGACTTCAAAAATCCACAATCCACAATCTTCAAATTAGGAAATATTCCCTGGGAACTACTCTATAAATAAAACATAGTAGGGCTTAGTGTAATCTTTAGTATGAGAACATTCTTTCTTTAGAGCTAACAGTAATACCACTTCAAGAAGGAAATGCTGTGTGAAGAGAGGATCTTGCAGCTCTCTCCCACTTTAAAATCAAGTACATAGGCTCCAGAGTAACTGCAGCCCCCAGGAGCCTGATGGCTACAAGGTATGAGTCAGCTCGACCACTCCGACCTCTTAAGTGGAGGAGAGGTATGTCCCGGTTTAGTACCCTGTGCTGGCTCAGGCTTCCCACACTCGGCCTCTGTGAAGCTCACTCGACACTGAGGCTGGACAGAAATCAAATATTGGCATTAGGTATCCACAAAGAAAACAAAAAGGGGGGGGCATTTCAGGTGGTTGAAAAGGACCTCTGCCCATGCCTGATGCAGGTGGGCAGTGAGATGCTCACAGTGTTGTGATCTGAGCTAGGGAATGCTGTGTGCTCTATTGAGAAGACTAACCACTCACACCAACACAAAGTTTGTAACCTTTTTCCAAGCAACAATTTTGATAGGAGATAAGTCTCAAACACCAAATCACTGCAGATTTACAGACAACCTCAAAATAATCCTTCTTTCCCCTATGTCCTCCTCCCTCCTCTTTCCTTTCTTACCCCTCACTATACACAAGATTTTTTTGCCCATCCTATTTCATTTAGTCTCACAAACTTCCTTCACCCTGCCTGATTTCACCCTTACAAGCTGAGTAGGAAGCAAAGAGCCTTTAACCATAGCAATGCATTGCCTGCTGTGTCTGGGGTCTGTGAGTGGTGACAGCAGGCTGGTGGAGGGGGGACCCAGACCAGAGACATGACCTCCTGAGGGACGAGGGTAGGACTCACTATGTTTGCAGGTCACACAAGTGATCCTTTCAGCTTGCTAGGAACCAGTAAACCTTTGTGAGGGAGGTTTGCCTCAGGTCTTCAGATATCTCAGGAGCATGCCAAGTCAATTGGACCATGCTCTTTTGGTTACATTCCTCCTTCTGACAATTCACCTGCATATGTTTAATTTTATGCTTCTTTCCTGGGTTTCTATTTCAGTAAGTGGATAAATTGCAAAAGAAAATGAAAAGTAGGTGGGTCATAAATCTTTCAAGTGTCGATAAATCACTAGCAACAGTGGAATTTCTAGGAATATTCACAAACAGAAGATTCAGGATGAGGCAAGACTAACAATATTTTTCTCTCCTTTTTTTAAGGGACACAAAATGGAAAATACTGCTTTATGTTCTACTCTACTCTGTAGAGTATGTCTGTTTGCATTAGGAAACCTAATCTGTGTCTGCATTTCCCATACAAAACACTTTTCATGTATCCATTTAGGACATATACAGGATTATTGTCATAGTGCTAAGGACTTTCACTAAGGAAATAATGGCTATATACAATAAGCTATTGGATACAATAATACTCAAGATAACAGTCATTACTAGAGCCACTGAAGAAACACATAAAAATTCTAAAATTGTCAGAGGTGACATCCGTAAATAATGTCACTTGCATTCTTACATCTCTGAAATGTCTTGAAACACTTACACAAAAGTGTCACTGACATAATTTGCCACAGAAGTGTTACAAGGATGACAGGACTATATAAAAAATTGCTAGAAATACTTAATATCAGGAAAACATTTTTCTTTATGTGCATATACAAAAAGAAAAAAAAAGATTCTTAGTCACATAATGAAAGCAGTCTGAATTTACTTTAATGCAAAAAACACCCCAACCCCCAAACCCACACTATTTTTTTAGAATGTTGGAAACCTAACTAGAGCTCAGGATTTAACACCCTCTGTATCAGGAAACATGATGAACACCCGTCTGTATTTTCTTGTGTTCACTTAAGGTCAGAAATCCTTTCCCCCTCATTCCCTGTTCTTTCTGAGAGATGCTGCTACTGTCTTGTTTATTGTCATAATCATCTGCAATCACGACATTTATGTGTCATCTCAAGTACTAAAATAATGAGAAGACACAGAGTTCTGTAGAGATCAACAAGAAGTACTTACAGAAAGTGAGGCACAAATGGAGAAAGGCACTGTTGCTTCTAGCTCTAATATATTGGAAAGCATTAATCAAGAAACAAGAGTCACAACCAAGCCATTAAGCAAGAGTCATATGTCATGTAATGCGTCAATATGCATTTCTATCAGCACGACACATGCTGGTAATGCTAGTAGCTACCAAGTCTTATGGGCTTGAATTTTAGTTCTTGGATGATAGTATACTAAGACTACAGCACATAGCATTAACAGCAAACTTGGAAAATATATGTAACAAGCTGGCTTCCCAGCTTGATGACATTTTCAAAAAAATACATTGTATGGCAACACATCATAAATGGTTTTCTGTATCATTTCTAAAGCACTCAATGTTTTGTCAAAGTAGTTGGGATAAAAAAGAGAGGAAGGAAAGGATCCTATTCAGCCTATGATTATATTTGAGGAACTAAAAAGTTATTTATTTGCAAATGTTAGTCTCTTGAAAGGAAGTTTCGTAGAGGTTGAATTAAATAATTTATCTAACATAAAGAAGGCATTATATTTGTAACATGTAAATATTGACTGACTTAGCTAACGAGTGGCTGTGTATAAACAGACTCCTTTATAACCTCAACTGGAGTCTAAAGGAGACAGCTTTGTATATTTTACAGTCTCTTGTACCTGAGCCAACAATTGATAGTGCCATAGATCAAA